CCGCGCCCCCCGCCAAAAAAAAGGAAATCCCAACAGTTGGAAGAACCACGGCACCATTTTTTTGACCCTCCATAACCTCTCCAGTCGAGATCCCCATACCAGCGCGACAAGAACTTCTCTTGAATTCATAGAGGGTCATCTTGACGTTCATGCTTGTCGTTAGATCATGACCCTTCGTGATGATTGATCTGACGTCCTCATGAGTCGAGCATCACTGCGCGCTAAGTCACTGATTGATCTCTCCGAAGCGTCTGTGCAGGAATTCTGACGCAAATTGCTAGGCACGTATTGTCAGAAAGAAAACAACGGGCGAGGGAAAGGTGGGAAAACGTCCCCGTGTTGGGATCTCCACAATCTGCATGAAGATCACCGGTCCCCACCACCGAGCCTTAGCTCATTTGGTACACCCATGAAAACAGGTGTCTTATTACCTTCCTTCCCCGAATACAACGTACGGTCATTATAGCTGTATTTGCCGCATCTTTCAGTCTTAATGCAGCTATATACTGACCGTGCGTTGTATTCGGGGGAAGAAGGTAGTATTAAAACACACACCCCAGTTCGAATCCAGATGCAGCCAGATGAACAGAAGAAAATAACTTTACCAAGTGGCCGAGTACTGTGGATAACTGTCATTGGTCTAGTATCCCACCTCTACAACAACCTAGGCTTTTAAGAAAAAAAAAGAAAAAGAAAAAAACAAAAAAGAAAAAAAGAAAAAAGAAAATCTTTGAATTAACTTTTTTTTTTTTTTTTTTTTACTGGTAAGCGACTGATCACGAGTTGAAATCGTGTCGGCTTCAGACACTGATCCTATTGGAATCAGATGCATACAATTTTATTGACCTTATACAATCCAGATGTGCATCAGAAGCAAACAGTGGCGACCTGAGCAGGAAGAGGTTTTGATATGATTTCAGCAGGATTGTCAAGCTATAAAAAAAAAAAGAAAAAAAAAAAGCTGATAGCTTGATAGTCATTTCACACTTTTCTGCTGTCCATGACTACGCTGGAGCTACCGTCTTCACGCGAATAAAACGCCCGGTAATTATAGCTGCATCTGGACTGAAAGTTGTGCCAAATGCACAGCTATAATGACCGGGAATTCTGTTCTGGTGAAGACCGTAGGATGGGGTTGCGGGGAAGCCAGACCAGGGTACCTTACCCGGTATCGTTCTTGGATTCCTATCCCGGTGTACCTTTGATTCGTTGAGCGAGATCATCATTTTTTTTTTTTTTTTTTTTTTTTTTCGGGAACGAGATTTTTCATCAAAGCCTTGGCCACTGGGCTCCCTTAGGAAAAAAAAACAAAAAAAACAACGGGCGGCGGGTTTGAGTTAAAAAGAAAAAAAAAGAAAAAAAAAAAGGAAACAAGATATCATCATCTAGGCTACCAGAGTGGCCCGGGACCACTTGCCTGGCAGGGCCCAACGGAAAAAAAAAAAAAAAGAGAAAGGTGAAGATTTTTTTTTTTTTTTTTTTTTTTTTAACCAGAAATCGTTCATTTCAAATAGAAGATAGAGGCCGGGGACCACACAATTGGACCTGCGGTTATCTGACAGCATCAGCCACCTTAGCTTACAGGCCAGGCCTGCGGAAATTCACCACTACGAATTTCCAAAACAACTAAATGAAACCATACAGGATGAAATAATGAGATGAGAATGAACCACATTCTTTCCTATCAATTAGACCAGCATAACCATCCTAACCATCCTAACCAAGCCTTCCTATCCTATGCTAAAAGGTGAAGAATTTCGATGTCCTGAGGCGAAAGTTGTTCAGTTTATTTTTCTGCATCGCATAGTTTTTTTATTTCCGGGTTTTTTTTTTTTTTTTAGCTGGGATCTTCTTTGGTCCTTGCACGGCCTGGCTGCCCTCCGGGTAAACAAGGTGACCCGGCCGGCCGGCTGGCAGCCAAGATCATCATTGAACTCACCGGCCCTACCGTAGGTAATAATTCAGAAGTAGTTTATTTTGTTAATATCGGACTGCATCTGGATTCGAACTTGGGTCTGTATTTTTTCAACAGTTCATGGGTGTGCCATCCGAGCTACTACTGTGGGCCCTCTTTGGTCACTGGGCCCCCTTTTTTCCAAGACGGAAAGAAGTGCAAGGAACATGAGTATGGACGAAGCACAGAAATCCGGAATGCAAAATCACACTGAAGTCCAAGTATTCAAAGCCAAAGCAGATAGCACATGGAACCGAGTAACCATCCCATTGAGAATGATACAGAAGAATCGTGAGTTAATGTCCATGCCCACCAGGGCAACACCAACAGCATAACCCAAATGTAACTCTCTCTTGTGAATGGCGCCAGGCGCCCTATCTACTCTACTGCCTATCCTACAACTACAGCAATGAACAGCAACCAGACAACTTGACTACCAGCGAGTGATGATGTCAACACCAATGCAGACCTCCACCATCACCAGGTACGTGTCATCTTCCCCACACTCTCCCTTGTTACCCACACAGTGCCCTTCACCTCTGAAGTACCACCTTCACCCTCACCTCCCCTGCACCTCTTGCGGCCCGGCTATGGCCGCCAGTGCTCTGCAAGCAGGCAGCGCCCTACCGCCTAGCGCTGCCCTGCTTCTTCTTAGCGCAGCGCTGCTCTGCATTAGCGCAGCACACTTGCATCTGCGCAGCGTGCCCGCATATGCCAGCATTGGCCAAGATCCCCGCTGCCTCGCCCTGCTTGCCTATATGCCAGTGCAGTGTGTGGGCGGCCTCCCTTCAGCCTGTGTCCGGGGCCCAGAGGCTGAAGCCAAC